ATCTTTTTTTTTTTTTTTACATTTTCAATTAACGGGCTATCCCCATACTCCGTCTGGTATGAGCGTCAAATTACTAAACCTTGATACCCCGTTCGGTATGAGGCAACGTTCATGGTAGGATTCCCTATATACCCAGTCTGTGCATTATCTCATAAGATATCCAGTAAGACTGTCGTTTCATATATCCACTTAATCAAATAATTTCTCGTTTACCTTTAATTTCTAGTTTTTCAATTTAACCGTAATTACATAAAAACAAGCAAAACATGCATCAAATGAATACAATTGCATTATCCTACCAATTTCAGTGTATTATCATGCATTCGAAAATTATAAAATCAGACAATCGGTTAAACATAGTAAACAATAATAAATAACCGATTCCGGCTCTATTAGTAATCTGTAATTAATTATGAATATTTTCTAAATTTCACAAAATACTATATTATTTAAAATTAAACTTAAATTCCATAACAGAGAATAAGGTAATGGATTCTTACTTAAAATGATGTCTGAAATGCTAAACTTTTGATTGCGCCTACTGGTGGTCTCTGGATTCCCTAAATTTTCATTCAGGGATTAAAACGCATTTCAAATACTTCAAAATATCTAAAAAAATTCAAAATCAGTGTTAGGAACCCTTTTTGGCCAATTTTAGAATTCCGGCACGCCGGCTCTGTCGTGCTTCGGCGACGACACTGTCACCCACTATGGTGGTTTGCCTTGGGTCGGCTGTTTTCGATTAGTTTTGTATTAATCTCTGTGAGAAAATACATTAAGGAGTTTCGGTTAGCCGAAAAAAGTCAAAAAATCGAAACTTACCGGCGGTAGGATTCTCCGGTGCGGCGACTCCGCTGGCTCACCTTCGTGGTTGAGCGTTTTGCTTCGGTCAACCTGTAGAGAAGAAAACGGTGATTACAATGGTGGAAGAATTACGCAGAATGATAATCGGGAAGGGCCTCATCAGATGCTTTTTGCATTTTACCGCGGCAGCGGCGCTGGGCTTTACCTGCGGTTTTCGGCTAATCCACCGATCTTTTTGCTTCGATTTGGCCATATGGATGTTTAAAATCGAATTTCGAGCAAATGAGAAATTTTTTACCTCTTTTGGCAGTCGGAAGTGACTCCGGTACGGCGGCAGCAGTGGTTGACTTCTTTCTCGGTGACTGGGTCTTCTTCTCCGGCGGGGGGTCTGGCAGGTAGGGTTAGGGTTTGGTGTGAAAAATGTTATTTATATATGTTCCCTTTTAATTTGGACCGTCCAATCGCGATTAAATAGGGAGTGAATCTGGACTGTTCATCGCAATTTGATCTAAGCCGTCCGATTGCGTTTAAATAGGAAGTATATCTGAACTGTTCATCACATTTAAATTTGATCGTTCGATCGTGTCTGGGGAGGGAACATATTCGGACTGTCTGTGCACGCGAAAACGTGTCTGGGCCATTCGATCCGGGCACGCAGATCGCCAGCGTGGCCTCCCGCGTGGCATTGTGTCAGCATCCCTTGCCACACGGCGCGCTCTGGTTCATCGGGGCTACTGACTGGGCGTTTTACGTGGTACAATTTTTTTAAATTATGTTTTGACCCCCAGTTTCTAAATTTTCTTTCAAAAATATCATCAGAACTTAAATTTTCATCCATTTTTCTTAAAATTATTTTCAATTTTATCTTCTATTTAAATTTTTTTTAATTTTTTTCATTAAATAATAATTAAAAAAATTAAAAAAACTATTATATTTGACTGTTAATTTAATTGTAAAGTGAAAAGACGATGATAGTGTCAAAAAAATTTTAGTAGCATTAATAATAAGTATTATATATTTGATAAATGTAACATAAAGTTTAGTTCGTAAAAAATATAATTACTCGTACTACTATCTTATTTATTTATATTAAATTTGTCATAATTAATGCACACAGAAAATTTTTATGTATAAATATTTGAATGACAAATCAAATTTAGTTTCGTGAAATATGTGTAAGATAAGTTCATCAAATAAGCGAATAAGAATTAGTTTAAGTTTGAAACCCCATTTTACATGCATTCTTATACATTACTATATATTCACATGATAAATAAGAAACTATAATAAAATACTATAATAAATTTATTTTATTATATTTTTGAAATTATAGTATATGAAAATATAATATACTCTAGTTGACATAATATTTTTCAATAATAAAACAAAACTTCAAATTAGGAATAAAGAAATACAACAAAAATTTATTATCAAAATTTATAGTTATGTAAATACATGAATTAATGGTACTTTTATCATCTTATATAATAGATAATAAAAAAAAGAGTATAAATAGATATGTATACGCATATATATATATATATATGTATATGTGTGTGTGAGTGTACACACATTGTTTCATTATTGAGATTTACAAACTCATCCATCTCAATTTCACCGTCTTGTGCCGACTTTTGACACGATTATAAGATGGATAACAATGTTAATGCATGTGATTTTGGCTTATTCTCCCTCTTCCTAATTTTGTTTTGATTCTTACATTTTGAAATTTTGGAAGCAAACAGAGGGTCGGCTTTATTTTTTGCCACAAAATTTAATATGCTCACATGAATTTTAAAATATTTTTATCTTCTTTTGATGTGGGTACATCAATTCTAATTAGTTATCGTTTTAAACCAACAAAGTATATAAAAGGATAAATTATAAAAACTATATAATATATTTGTTAGGAAAAAAAAAACTATATGATATGAGTAAGTTATAAAATAATATAATATAAGGCCTTTTTGTTGTGGAGGGGTAAGAAAATTGAAAATATGAAAGTGGATTTCTTCTCTTTCCCCCGAGGCCTAAGGCCGGACGCATGTCCTCCGTTGAAACTAAAAGCATGATAGAGAGACTTTCAGCCAGTGTCAACCAGAAAACTTAGTGGCCCAACTTTGTCCTGTTTAGGCCTTTAACCAACGGAAGTGAACCAGTTTCAATTTTGCCCAACGAGTTATGATATGGTATCTCATAGTATTCGCCATGTAGAATTTTAT